GGGGGGGGTAATAAAATTCAGCAAACGTGGACACCACGCTCTTCGCAGCAATGTGGATGATGATAATGATCGCGGGTGGATGAAACGATTCGTCCTTATTTATATAGGGACATCATCCCGGTCACAACTCCGTCTTTTCCTAAGTTGTGTAATCGCATTCGTAAGTTATTGATTATTCATTTCCTTCCTTCGTGAAAAAAATTATTTTTAGTTATTATTGATCTTCTTGTTTCTTTTGTTCCAACTACCCGATGGGAGCCACCACGGGTTCAAGGTATGGACAAATGGGTTCAGAAAATTCTGGAAATCACGATACCAGAATTCTGCCGGTGGAAGGAAATGGCCTCTAAATATGGGTGGAAGGCCAAAAATCGTGGTAAACTGAGTCATTTTTCCTTTTATCTTTGTGCGATCACATGTAATTTCATGAAAATCTTGCTAACTCTATTTTTTGCTTGATACAGGACTTCTGCAGGGCTCTGTCGTTTGCCCCAAAATCGATATTTTAGAGGACCCCGAGGAGGCTAGAAGGATGTTGCAAAGTGCCTTGCCCGAAGCAGAGATTGCGGCTCTGCTTCCGGCGAGGGTACCTCCTCTCGGAGTCCCTAGCCCGAGAACAAGAAACCAAAAAAATGATTCTCTTCTTCGGTTAGGGCTCAAAATAAGAAGATAAAGAAAGCAACAACCGAGCCGACATGAAGGGGAAACCAGTGGTGAAGAGGCTCCCCTTTAAAGGAGAAAAGGATCTTCACCAACTCAACCAGATGCTCAACCGGGAGAGCTTTAGAACCCAATATCGGAGAAAGTTGAAGCACTTTGGGGCGATGTGAGCTTGATCGAGAATGTTGATTCTCGTTGATCGGCCCCCTTTGGTGCCTCCATTATAGTGCGTTCATACCCTGGGCCTATTCTACCTCCAACCACTAAGCCAATAACAGTCAACACTTCCTTTGGCACCCCCGCTTCTTCACCTTCTACGCCAATGGGTTCACGCCCATCGACACTATCTGCACCTTTGCCATCGGCAACAATTGCCACTCCTCCACCGGTATAGTTTGAGCAAGAGCAGAGTGCTTCTCCTCCTCAGTCTCCCGATCATGGGACTTTGGGGCACAATTATTCAACCCCTTTTCTAGATCCTCGAGGGAGGAGAAGTGCCACTTTTTCGGTTTTGAAAGTGTTCCATTTTTTTTCCAAGCCGGTGGAGCTTGCAAATTATCTGAAGCTATAGGCTTCAGAGAAAGATTGGAAAAAATACACTCCCTTTCTAGGGAGTGCCTGATAAACAATGCTATGCACAACGCAATGTAGGTACCGTACTAGTTTTCTCGTATCTACTTTTATATTCATCTGTTGCAATGGAAATCCTAACTTTGATAATCTTTTCTGGAGGCCAAATTTCTTGCTTCTGAAGGCCTACAAAGGTTGATTCTTGACAAGCAAGGACTCGCTTCCGAGCGGGATCAACTTTTGTCTGATAGGAACCAACTTGTTGCGCGTCTCCTGGTATTGGATGCAACAACTACTGAGATGGGCGAGCTCGAGGCTCGGTTGAAATAGAGTGAGCAAGATAAAATGGACCACAGTCAAGAAGATGCTCAATTGCACGAAAAGCATCAACATGCCAAGGCTAAGTGGGCCGAGTTACATGACGATGTGCTTGCTGCTGCCGAGCGCAAGTCTATCTTGGAGGATCAAATAAATAATTTGAAGGCAGAGTTGAACTCCAAAACCAAGGAAGCCATGCTGCCAAGGAGAAGAGGGCCAAGATAGATGAGAGGTTTAAGAGAATCATGGCGCAAAATTGAATGCACTTATCTACAACTATTGAGCTTGATTCTCGCCTCGGTGACATGAGATTCGAAAAGGACAACCTTCAGGCCGAAATTGATACTCAAACAAAAACTCCATTACTAAGAGGATTCCCTTGTATTTGAGAAGACTTATGGTACATATCATATAAGGAGGAAATCCTTGGAAGAGGAGAAAGTGGGCATCATCAATATTGATGATTGCATCGTCAAGGCCCGAGAACTGGAGCTAATTGCTCGTGAAAATCATCATGCTCAGCCTGCTGCAACTGACTCTTCGATTACCGATTCCGAGTACTCGGGAACCGAAGGGGAGTTTGAAGAAAACAAAGATGAAGGTCCAGACACGAATCCGGTAGTAGATCTGCCACCCTCCACTGGGGGAAATATAGACCCATCTCTCCCTTCGAGTTCCGGCGGTGATGACGTTTAACTTCTTCCTTTTTTTATATCTTGTAATTATGCCAAACGTTACACCAAGTTTGGCACTTTGATAAATAAGAATTTTTTTGCTCAACTATTATGCAAAATATATTCCTTTTGTGTTGTATTGATTAAAGCTTCAGGTATATTTTCATCTGATAGCTTTTGATCCCGGGCATTAATTCTTCCTGAATCAACCCTTAACTATGAGGGTTTCATAATAGAGGGACCTCTTATATTTACGGTGCTCTTGAAGAGAACGTCTCTTGTTCATTCTGGCACAAACATTTGAAGTTTCTGTTAACTTTCAAATGATAAAGTTAACTCATCATTTGGACAAGAAATAAGATAAAATAAAAGGATTTTATTTTATTTTATTACTTCTATCTTTAAAAGTACATAAGCATTCATTTACTAAAGTAAAAACTATAAATACATGTGGCTAACTTGTATAACTTATTTCTATAGGGTCGACCATGCAGTCCTCGATCCTAATGAGATATTGATCTCGGTTCTCGCCCCATGCTGTATCGGATATTATCCCTCCCCCCATGTTCGAATGCGAAGCATGCGAATTTGACACTGGAAGTCTTGCTTCACAGGTGGAAACGACTTGTGAATGGATAAATAATCCTTTTCTAGTGATGGAAGCCAAAACTTGCCATCGAACCAAAGATTATTTACCATACACATAGTTGTTTGCCATTGATGTGAAAATATTAGTGCCTTGATATCTAAAGGTCTTTCCTTTATTGATGACACTCCCTTCGTAGTATGCTTTATGTTGTTGCCTCATTAATAACCTTGCCAGAAAAACCTGATTGGGACAAAAATTGGTTGAAGGGAAAAAGAGTGCAGCACATACTTTTAGTATTGGTATCATCTGTCAGCAATAATACCTTTTGAGGTGAGTCGCATTCCAATCGTTGGGAAACTTTACTCCATCTTAATTCTCCAACTCGTTGACCCATTACCGGTAATAGATGAAACCCGGTAAGGACTTTCCCATGTTGGACCCAGCTTCATGGCGTTGACTTCCCGAGTGATTTGAGTCACCTTTTTCAAAACCAAGTCTCCTACTTTGACGTAGCGGAGATTGGCCCACATATTATAATATCTTTCTATCCTTTGCTTTTAAGCCATCATCCTTACGTATGCCAAGTCCATGTGTTCGTCTAGCAAGTCCAGCCTCACAAACAGCGCTTTATTGTTTGCTTCTTCGTGTTATCGGGAAAACCTTAAAGTTTGTTCACCTACTTCCACCGGTATCAGAGCTTCCATGCCATATACAAGAGAGAAAGGTGTTTCTCCTGCACTCGATTTCGCCATTGTCCAGTATGTCTGTAGCACACCCGATAACTCTTCGGGATATTTGCTTTTAGCAACTTCTAATTCTTCCAAAAATGTTGTGACTTTTAAGCCTATGAATTGCGGCCTATTTTCATAGGAATTCTCTTTCTGTATTCTGAATCGGCAAATTATGTGGTCCCATATAAAGTCAACCACTTCACGTTCACTGATCTTCTAGTAAGGACCTGCTTCAACCCATTTAGTAAAGTAGTCACTTAAAACCAAAAGAAATCTTACCTTTTCGGGGCCTGGCGGAAGGGGACCGGCTATGTCCATTCCCCATTTCATAATCGACCATGGGCATAATACCTAATGTAAGAGTTCTGCTGGTTGATATACCAACAATTCATGGCATTGACATTTGTCTCACTTCTGAACGAATGTCTTTACACCCTGCTCCATCCGGGGCCAATAGTAACCTACCTTAACTAGCCGGGGCGCTTGATGTGTACCTTTTTAGGTCTTTCAAGGCCTGTTGGCATTCCGGAGTCCATTCGAAATTGCTCTTCTTTTCTAGAAGTGAAAAAAAGTGACGACACTTTTTAGATAATCTCGAGATGTCCCTGCATTCATGAATCCCTGTCATACAGCTTTTTCAAAAAAATTCAGTTGATATGCTGAAGTTATTAAGCTTATTTCTAAAAACTTCTGCACTTAATAAGCTAAAGTTTTATGTGCAGCATTCATTAATTATGTCATACATCCTTTTCCAAAAAATTTCAGCAGAAGATGCCTAAGTGATTTAGTTCATTTGTAAAAATTTCAGCACAAACAACCTAAAAATTCTTCTGTTCACTTTCCTAATACTTGCCACTAAAAATGAAACTGCAGGATGAGTTCGATTTGCATTGTTATAACTTTCAATGGGAGTTGGACTCCTGATTTCAAATACTTGGATCATGATACAAAACTTGTTCTACTTAATAAGCACATATCATTCAATACTTTCCTGAAGAAAATTAGTGAAGTTGCAAATATTGATTCAACCAGATATGCACTAAAAGTATGGTTTGATATCAAACTAAATACAAGCAAAGGAATGCTTGTAACTTCAGATGAAGAACTCAGTACCTGTATATATTTGCTTACAACTGATTCACCCTATAAGAATTGCCATTTCATCATCGAAAAAATACAACCTTCAGAATCTGCAGCATTCAAACAATCTCTTGCATATGCGATAGATTCAGAACCTTTTGAACATGAAGTAGGACAACCAATAATGGAAGTAGACAACGAGCTACAACCTTCTAACATTACAGTTTCTTCAGAATATATAATGCTGCAACAATTACCCCCTTCTCCAATAAATTCAAACCATTTTGTCGATGTCCAAGAAGAAGAAGAACAGCTAATAATGCAAATTGACAACCAACACACAATCCAACAAACCTTTTTGTTACCTTCTGCAATGATAAGCAACAATGAAGATGAAGTAAACATGGAGAATATACCGATAACATCAGATAGAATTGAAGAAATTGCTGAAAGTTCTTGTGCTTCTCAGAAATCAAGAAAAAAGGTGAGGAAACAGCTGAAAGAATCTCCACCATGTAAAATACTTAGGCACGATGCGTTGCCTAAGAAAGTAAGAGTTGGATCAATTTTTGATAACAAACAAAACATGACTAAATTTTTCTACAGCTTGGAGATAAACCAGAAAGTTGAATTCACTGTTGTTAGATCATGTTCAAAGAGATACAAGATGAAATGCATCGTGGACAAATGTGGTTGGAATGTACGTGCTACCAGAATAAAAAATTCCACACTATTCAGGGTGATAAAATATCATAACATCCATGAATGCTCGGTTGATGCAAGAAAATCAGATCAGAAGCATGCTACATCAAATTTTATAAGTGAACAAATTATAGAACATGTTCGAGACAAAAAGATAGAGGTTACATCAGCCTTTGTAGAAAATGAAATAAAAAAGAAATTTGGAATTGACATTGGTTATCACAAGGCATGGCGTGCTATTCAAAAAGCTGTTGCTTGCATAAGGGGGTCACCTGAAGAGAACTACCAGATTCTTCCTACATACCTACACATGATGGTGTGCAAAAACCCAGAAACGTACACAAGCATAAAAAGAGATGCGCAGAATAGGTAACCATCAGCCTGAAGTTTCAAATGTTCCTATTTGAAAAACTTCTCACCTTATGATTTGTTCTTTTTGTGTTTCACTGTACAGATTTGCTTACATGTTCTTTGCTCCTGTGGCATCAGTAGCTGGTTGGTCCTACTGTAGACCTATTATTGCAGTAGATGCAACGTTTTTAAAGTCCAAATATCGTGGTGTTCTATTTGTTGCTGTATCAAAAGATGCAAACAATCAAATCTTTCCTCTATGTTTTGATGTAGCAGAATCAGAAAACAATGAGGCATATATTTCGTTCTTCGGAGAAATGAGAAAAGCAATTCAAGTCCGTCGTGAATTGGTTTTCTTGTCAGATAGAAACCAATCAATTGCAAATGNTCAATTTGATGAATTGCCCTGTCCACATGCAATTGCTGCTATTAATAAGAGATATATGCAGAAATCTGATTATTGCTCAAATTGGTATTCAAAGGAAACATGGTTGAAAACATATGAAGGACATGTGAATACCGTGGGAGATCAAAAATCTTGGGATATACCACAAAATGTACAATCTGAGATCACAAAACCTCCCGATGTAGAGATTTTACAAGGAAGAAGACAAAAGAAGAGGCATATACCTGTGACTGAATCAGTACCATTCAAGTCTACCAAATGCAGTCGATGTAAACAAGTTGGGCATAATAGAACAACTTGCTTGTCTTCTCCAGCACTCATCCATATTCAAAGAAACACACTAAAAAATACTCCAACCTTCAATAATCCTTGGTCTGAATTTAGACTTTCATTATTGTATGACATATTTGAAATGTGATTTTTTTCATAGGAATAAAAAAAAAGAAGCTCTTGGACTATTTTATATACTGCTAAAGTACAAATTACTCATTTTTGTTGCGCAGGCTTGTAGGTTTGGTTGCATTTTAAAAAAGTACGCAATGACTTCTGCGAGAAAAAACTTAAGGTTACAGTATGTGAAATACATATCCTTAACACAAACACACACACACATACACACACTCACTCACACACACACACACATACGCGTACAACACACAAAAGAAAGACATGTACAAACAAAATCTTCAACATCTCTAAGCTGAAGTTATAAAAAATGAACTTAATAACTTCAGCATATTCAACTGAAGTAAACAAAAAAGCACAGCATAAAAACATAAAAAAGAATTACAAAAACTAAACATAAAAACCAACTAAGAAGTATAAAGCAAATATCAACAAATAACAAGGATAATGCAATAGAAATCTAAGAAGAAAGAGGATGAGAATTACATTGATACAAAAAGAGATGAGAACAACACACAAAGTACAAACAAAAACATCAGCTCTCAGGGCTGAAGTTATACAAAATGAACTTAAAAGCTTCAGCTCTCTGGGCTGAAGTAAACAAAAAAATACAACATTAAAACATAAAAAAAAGGATTACAAACACTAACAATTATCACCACCACCATCATAATCATCATCACAATACTCCTCAATTTCTCTAAATATCTCATCATCATCAGTATCAGAGATAACTATAGGGTAGTCGGGCAAAAGACCACTGAATCCAAGGAGATCAATCTTCAACTTGTCGAATTCATCACGCAACTGACTTTGTTCGACGATTACTCTGTCCATAAGAGAAAGAAGAGTCTTCAGGTTGTTTTGCAGCTTGGAATAGTCGTTCTAGTTGGGAAACTGAAAACTATCAAACTGCTGCACAACCTTGTCGAACGAGTTTAATTAACCACTACAACTACGTTCCAGGTTAAGCCTGTTCTGGAATGATTCATTGGCAAAGAACTGTGGCCTGATTCTCTCCCAATCAGCCTTTATTTGATCCCACAAAAGCATAAAATTAGCCATCGGTTTGTTATTGTGTCACTCACACTTCAAAGTCTCGCACTTCTTCATGATTTCATCAAAATTAGGCTTCCTACTTCCGCTTCCACCAGACATTCTTTCTTTAACAAAAGCTGAAAGACTAAGAATGAATATAAATTTAAAGAAATATGATAGAAGTCTATGAATGACTATGAAATTTTCAAGTGAAGAGATTGTTAATATAGACAAAGAGTTCACCTAATCAATTTAATATTTATAAATGTAAAAATAACTTTTCAGGTGTTTTTACTGTTTTACGTTCAGAGAAATTGAATGAAACAAGATAAGTAGATGGTAAAACAAGTATGTGGTAAATGCAAAAAAAATTGTAACTTCAGCCCTAATAAGCACACAATTTTTTTATAGTAAAAAAATAATTTCAGCCTGAAAAATAACTTTTTGGATCATTTATTATATGGTCAAAAAAATTTAAATGAAAGATGAAGTAGGTGACAAAAGACCAAAAGTAGATAGTAAATGCAAAAAAGATAAGTATCAACTTAAAAAATTACCAAAACATGCTGAAGTTTTTGTCATAAGCTTTTTCAAAAACTTCAGCCCAATGTGCTGAAGTAATTTAGTTCATTTATAAAACTTCAGCACATAATAAGCTGAAGTTTTTCATCGTGCATTCAATAGTTTTGTTGTAAATGCTTTTTCAACAACTTCAGCTCAATGTCCTGAAGTTAGTTAGTTCATTTTTAAAAACTTCAGCACTTGATGAGCTGAAGTTTTTCTCCTGGACTCTATAGTTTTTGTCGTAAAGCTTTTTCAAATAACTTCAGCTCCATGTGTTGAAGTTATTTAGTTCATTTCTAAAATCTTCAGCACTTGATAAGCCGAAGTTTTTATCCTAGACTCGATATTTTTTGTTGTAAAGCTTTTTCAAATAACTTACGCAGAAAAAGCTTAAGTTTTTGTCCTACATTTGACACTTTTGTTATGACTTTTAACCAAAACTTCAGCTTAAAATGCATAAGTTATTTACTTCATACTGAAGTTTAGCATATTTGAATCAATCCAAGTATACTAAAAAACTAATTAATGCGAATAGAACAAAAATTTAAAAGACATCACATAAATCACACAAAATAATGTATATTCACACAATCCAATTTTGTTTTCGCTTACATCCTTGAAAAAAAAATTAGTTTTTTGTTTACAAGTTATTCTCTATTCAAAATATTGACAGAGTGTCTTCATATTCGCCATAGTCATGTCGTAGTTGCTCTTATTGGGCTTCTTAACAAAATTCCATGAACCTTCACTATGTCTTCAACTGATTTACAAAAGCAGCAATACGAGCACCTTTCTTTACCACCTTGTACGAACCTTTGAATTACATTTGTCATATTATTGCATTTTTCACATATGTGCATCTGTGAGGGCACACTAAGTGTGAAAAGCCATTCATGCAAATTCGCTGCAGCACCATGAGCTATAAGACAGTCACCCTCTATTTCACCAAATTTAATTCCACCAAAGCATTTTCTGTCACACACAGGTTGACAAAGTTTAGTACTATGAATTTTTTAGCAACTCCTGTCTTCTTTCATAAGAAAAAAACAAGAAAATGTTGGCAAAGACATGCTTACTGGTGTGTAGCTGGGAATTCGTGAGAAGCAAAGATAATGAAGGAGAAGTCCAAAAAACTTCATATGTGACGGAGAGTGTCCACATCAAATACTCGAGCCCCAGGACAATTTTACTAAAAGTTAGATTTATCAACTAGTAAAAAGAGCAAATTGTCCAGAAGCCCAATGTGCTGAAGTTGTTTAGTGTATTTCTAAAAACTTCAGCGCTGGATAAAGCTGAAGTTTTTGTATTAGATTCAATAGTTTTTGTCGTACAGCTTTTTCAAAACACTTCAGCCCAATGTGCTGAAGTTGTTTAGTGTATTTCTTAAAACTTCAGCGCTGGATAAAGCTGAAGTTTTTGTATTGGATTCAATTATTTTTTCGTACAGCTTTTTCAAAAAAGTTCAGCCCAATGTGCTGAACTTATTTAGTGTATTTCTAAAAAATTCAGCTCCCCTAAGCTGAAGTTTTTTTGTTGGATTCAATAGTTTTTTCGTACAACTTTTTCAAAAAAACTTCAGCTCAACGTGTTGAGGTGTATTTCTAAAAACATCAGCATTTGATAAGCGGAAGTTTTTGTCCTTCAGTCGACACTTTTGTTATGACTTTTAACCAAAACTTCAGCTTAAAAAGCAGAAGTCATTTACTTCATGCTTAAGTTTTTTCAACAAAAATATACTTAAAATTCATAATAAAAGACAGAAACATATTTGTATGAACAAAAGTAAAATAAAAAAAATACTTAATGTATATTCACAAAATAAAAATTATGTGCAACCAATCCTCTAATCAAAAAATTCACACACAGTCTCTTTAAAATCTCCATAATCATGTTCTTGTTGTTCTTCTGGAGTTTCGTAGCCGCTATCTTTTTTCCACTTTCCATGAGCCCAAAGATTGGCAGCCAATTCTCTCCTGAAGGTCAATGACTGACTTTGATCGAAATTGAAGACAACTTCTTTATTCAGCCGTATATCAATTAACTTAAGAGCAAATACACAATAATCAACACTACAAAAAGAACATGGAAAATAGTTTACACAAGGGCAAAATATAATAAACATAAGATGCATGGTAAAACATATACGAAACACGTACTTGTTAGTATGATGCGGTGAGCTCATCCACTTAATTTGAATTTTTTCCACAGGACTATCCCCATAAAATTTATTGTGTGCCCCAAATTCCAAGCATTTGAGACAGTGTGGGATCAACCGGGCATAATTTCTGACATGTTCAACCGCACGCTCATATGTTACATTGCCCATGGAATCATACACATATATACTTTTATCTTTAAAGTCTAGAATTCCAAAAAAGTAGTGCGTAGATCTCTGGCCCGTCATTGGCTTAAGTCGAAATGGAAAGAATACTTTTCTGGCAGATTCCCATGAGATACCATAGGAAAGGTCGAGGCCTTTTACGTAGTTGGCCACCTTTTCATTCGTTGATTCTTCCTCAAACCAACTAAAGTCCGTAAGTGGTCGAATAACCGCTTCTTCTTCTTCTTGAACCTGTTGTTTGGATATCCTCTTTCTCTTTGATTTGCTCTTTTTTTTATCCTCCGTTCTCTTTTGCTTCCTTTTTCTAATTTTATCCATCTTTTCTTCTAAAGGATGAATACCATCCAGCTTAGTCATATACTGATCAAAAATTAAATCAGTTACTGCAAATCTTGATTTTGGATAAGCTGGAAGGTGATAGCAATATTTTTTGCGCAAGTAATATATGCCCACATCCATATGCTGCAAATGAACAACAACAAATGATAACATGTGAAAAACTACAAACAGCATGACAAAAACTTAAGCATATTCAGTTTGAAGTGTTAGAAAATAATCTAAAAAACTTCAGCATGTTTGATTTAAAAGTTTTAAAAAAAACTAGAGAATGCATGTCAAAAACTTCAGTACGGTTAGGCTGAAGTGTTAGCAAATAAGCTAAAAACTTCAGAAATTTAGTATAAATAAAGCTGAAGTTTTCCAAATTACAGTACAAAAACTTTACTATAAAAAATAAGCTAAAGTTTTGGGAAATACAGTTGAAAACCAATTCAAAAAACAAACTTAATAACTTACTTCATCCGCAAGATCAGAGTTAGGATCCATAAGCTCTGTAAAGAATGATTTTTGAGTATCAATTCCAGCTAATCTGAATGGATTGGAATCATATTCACTGGCATCCATCTCCAACCACTCTGTAAATCTTTGCATCAATCCACTGTCTTGATTAACATAATGGAAGGGACACCTTCGTATATTATTTCCTACTTTCCAATCTTGCCTCTTTCCTTTCGTTTATGAACTACGTAAGGAGATCTCAACCAAATACTCTCCATACGAATCCTTTTACCTTTTTTTTCTGGTTTTCCTTTTGCTTGCTCTTCTTACTGTTCCATCACAACTAACTATTGCTGTTCACCGGTAGGGGAGAAACCACAGCCATAGTGGCAGATACTTGACC